TTACGTAACATTTACATTATTACCAACCATAACATTTAAATTATTTTCCGAATTATATTAAAAATTTTTCATGAAATATTCGTAATTATCATGAGCTTATACTTAAAGAGAGAGAGAGAAAAGAGAGTATGGAAATTAAAGAGAAATTAAAATGGAAATATTTTAACAGGCGGGTATTTAACTGTTCTGCTACCATTATATTAAACTGTTATATAGTAGTTTTGCCAATCTGTTCATATTTAAAGTTAAAACTTTAAAAGTGAGAAAATGAAATATTAAAGAGACAGAATGAAAATTTTATTAGAGGCTAGCCTACAATTTAACTGTTTCATATTATAATGAGAGATTAATGAATATTAATTCTCATTATTATATATTAGAAAACTGTTAGTAAGTAGTGTTATGAGTTAATAATCAGTATTTATTATTCTGTTAATTAGTATTGTTACAATATAAAGCTGTTGTAGAAGTATAAAACGAATTAAGATCAAAAATTTTGTTTAGATTAATAAAATTAGATGGCTATAAATAAGAAACGATAAGAAAAAATTTCAAGGTAATTTTCATGTTTAAATGGAAATGGAATGTAATTTTAATTTACATACCGAAATTTAAGATTGCAATAAGAAATTTCTCAATTTTAATATACTCAAATATTAAACCCTATTCAGAACATTTTTAAATCCTTGCAATTTGAAGAATAAAGGACAATTTTATTTCGTATAATAATTTATTCGCCATTAAAATATTACTGATGTGGAAATTTTTTAAAGAGCGAATTTTTTTTTAAGGACGAAAACAAACTTGGTAATATTTAATCGTTCAATAGAAAAATAAAGTATTGTGACATTATTTTTAAGGATATTCGAAAAAAAAAAAATCCTCGTTTCTGTCAATTTGGTTATTTTTCCTATAATTTAATAATATTTCAATCAATTTGCGAAACAAAAAATTTTGCTTCATTTGATTTTTTGATTTTTTTTTTTGATATTTTATAGTCGTTTAAAATGAATGGTTTTCTCGAGTCCCTAAACATGAACATATTTTTGGTTGCCTTCTTTTATGCAATAATTTTATTTTTCATTTTTTCTTTTTTTTCAGAAAATTTTAAATTTTCTCAAGACGATCAAGGTTAATCATGTGGAACAAAAAAAAATAAAAGAATTTGAACAAAATAAACCATGTTTTTTGGGCAAAAAAAAAATTTTTTTTTTCTTTTGAAATGGAAATTACATGGTTTAATGGTCTTTTTTTTTTTTAAAGGGGTTTCTAAAACATTTTTCCTTTTCATTTCATTTTACAAATTACTCTGGTTTTTTTTCCATTTTAGAAAATTTAAATTTTTATTTACATTTGATATAAAATTTATAATGAAATTACTTGAAATAATCTTAAAAATAAATAGATTCATAATTTAAAATAATGATCCGAAATTATATAATGTTCACGGTTCTTTGATTAATATTTGCCCAATATAATTTAATATGTGAAAATATTGGATATGGAGGAGCGGATGAAAAAGAATATTACAAATTACATATGCTAACTTAAATTTAAATTTAGGAAACTGGTTTACTACTATGAGAAGTTTGTCTGAGAAATCATATAGAAATTTCGGTTGAGTAGGATTAGAACTCTGTTCTCATTTCAAATCCAATATTATGCTCAATATTAGTTTAATCTAGCGTTACTAAGTAATTACAAAAAAAATTTATTCGCTATTTTTCAGCCCTTTTCCGATTTAAAAATTCAAAACTTATTTTATAAAAAATTTTTTGAATATTTAATTTTGCATTAAATTTTGTACTAAAAATTTTCATATGAATTATGTTTTAGTACTAAAATTTCTATGCAATTATATAAAATTTTTATTGAAATTTTGTATTATGCATGATCAATTTTGTATGGAATTGTACAATAAGTTTTGTTCTAAAATATTTATCCAAGTTAAGTACTAAAATTTCCATTTGTACTAAATTTTAGTACTAAAAACATTATATGTACTAAATCCTTCTGGTTAAAGTTTTATGTATACTAAGTCATCTTGCGTACTAAATCTTATCACCTTCATATTAAATATTCATAAGTACAAAAACCTATAGTACTAAAAATTTCATGTTTATTAAAACCTCACAGTAAACGTTTCATTTGTATTAAAACTTCATGTGTACTAGATCTTCATGTGTTCTAAATCTTCATGTTTGTTAAGTGTTCATTAGTACTTCTAACATTTCCATGTCTTCCAATTAATTTAAGTACTAAAATTTTCATATATCTTAAATTTAATCACAATATATTAAGAAATAATTAAATTCTCTTATAAATTTTTTATTTTTTAATCTTGTATAACAATTTAAATTGAATAATTGCGGAGTTGAGAAACAAAAGACAAAGTATGATTTTCTGAAACATTAGAGATTTTGTTTCCATTATTTTCCAATTCATACAAAAGACGAAATTCTTTGTTTTGTTCCACAGTATATGCACATTTAGGTACATCAAATATTTACTCACACGTATACAAATATTCTTTTCTTTTCTCTTCTTTTCTAAGTATAAAGGTAATGTTCAATCATTCATAATAACAAAAATTTCTCAAAAATTATCTTTTATTTTTTTTTTGTAGTTAAAGTGAAATATAAAAGAAAAGAAAAGAAAATTCCCATTTTTTTTTTATTCTTTTTTTTCTCATGAAAAATCAATTTGTTGTAAAGAAAACAGAAGAAAGAGAAGAAAAAAATTTAGAAACAAAAAAATGAAAATTTACTTTTCGCGTTGTGTTGATTTTCCGTTTATTGCATTTTTCATTTTATGCTTTCTTTAGTATGACTTCGTTCATTTTTTTTTTTTATTTTAAACAAAAGAATAAAACGAAAAGAAAATTTTTCCTTTTTCTCATTAAAAAAAAAGAGAAAAAAAAGAACAACAATAATAATAACAAGAAACGAGGTTGTGATGAACGTGTAAAATATAACAGTGCGCCCGTAAATATGCATTCATTTTAGTGTGTAGTTAAAATATGGTTATATGGCAAGCATAAAGAAAATGTTATGCAAGTTTTAAAGAATGAAAAAAAAAATTTTTCACTCTTGTTCATGATTCCATATTTTTCCCGTGTATTTGAAAACTTGAAATTTTTCTGTATTTTTCTTGTAAAATTTTTTTTGTGTTCATAATTTTTTTTCCCTGTTCTCTTGTTTTTATTTACTTTTCCTGTCATTTCGCATGAAATATAAAACATACAAAGCAAATGTGTGTGTACCTTGTTAATTTCCACTTTTTATTATATATGAGTATTTTACACATTTTTTTTTATAATTACGTAAAAAATACATTTTTATATAATAATAATAATTGGAATAATGTCCTTTTAATTGAGATATTAAAAATAATAATTATCAAAGGTAAAAATTATAAAATTGTTGTGTGTGTCTTTAAAATGTAAAATAAATTATGATTGTGAGTTCTTGTTCATAAATTAATGTTGATAATGAGTGTTTGTCATTTTGGATGTAAAGAACATTTTATTATTGGCGTAGGTATAAGTATATAAAGTAATTGCATAAAAAAGAAGAATACGGTAGCTTAAAAAGTTTTTAACAATAATTCAGTTAATTGTGATCGTGATATATGGTGTTTATTATGATAATAACGCTTACGATAGCAAAAGTCGTCATTCCGTCAGAGCGGAAGATTCACAGAGTAAAAGAATTTCTAAGACAGACTCAAATCATGTTTGGATTATAATTTATTATTACGGGATCGGGTTCCAAAATGTAAACAGTTCTAAATAGATTAATTTAGTTTTTTAATTTTTAAAATAAATTAATTGCAAGTTGATTTAAATTAATTTTTCGCAAATATTGCGGAATTCAATCGAAACAAACCGAATTTTGTCGAATCAAAAACTGAACGAACTGAATCGAAGATAATCGAACAAAAACGAACCGAAACGAACTTAACCGAAAGGAATCGAACCAAATTGAAACGAAATGAAACAAAGTGAACTGAATAAAAACAAATCTAAATTTGTTTTTCACAAATATTTCCGAACTGTATTATAAACGAATTTTATTGAGCTGAACCGAACCAAATTAAAATAAACTGTTAAAACCGAAACGAACTGAATCGAAGATAATCGAACAAAAAACGAACCGAAACGAACTGAACCGAACTGAATCGAGACGAATCGAACTTAAACGAATGGAATTGAACTGAACCGATCCGTACTGAGTAGAATATTAAAGACTATTTAATGTACATTATTACTCTTTAACGTTTCTTTAACCAATATAATCCAGAATACATACATCACACTTATTGAATAATTTAAATTCATACACGAGAATTAAAAATGCTTAGACGTGCGTGAAAATTTATGCATAATATTTTTTTTTTTTTCTAAATTTTCAAAATTGAAACTTTTTTATAATAAATAATTTTCTACTTTATTATTAATTTAACGATAAAATATACAATAACATTCATCTTGTATAACAGTTATAAATGGTTTTTCATGTTTTAATATATTACAAATAATATTGCAGTTACACTCATATATGTAAGCATAAGAATTTAAAATTAACATACATTTTACATGAATTTATGAATACGGGCACGGAAGAGAATGAAATTTTCAAAAAGAATTTTAAATTTTCTGTATAATAAAACTATAAAAATGTTTTCCCCTTTTGCAACATAGTAAAAAATTTACAATTATGTAAAAATGTTAATTATAGTTAAATGAAATTATCGAGTTGAAAAAAAAATTTGTATTAAAGTTTTATTAGTTTGTGTTTGAAATTCTTTGTGCATTGAAATTTGTGCAGTTTTTCTTTCCTTTGCTGTGATTTTCTGCAAGAAGAGGCAGAAATATTTACGATACAATTGTATATGTAAAGAATTAGCAATATTTTATGAATTTATGTCTAAATACAAAATTTATTTTCATGATAAATTATTTGATTTAATAAAATTTTTTATTTTATTTTTATTTTCAGGTAAGAATTTTTAAATTTTTCTACATTAGAATCATAAATTCGTACAAATATCAAGGTATGTTGACGATATTTTATTAAATGAGAAATATTAAATTTTATAAAAAAAAAATGAAATTAATTTTTTTTTTTAAATTTATTAAAAATCTATTGTTAATATGAGCAACTATTGGTCAATTTAAGCTAGTAAAAGCGAGGAATGGCGACTTCAATACTGCCATTCATCATTTATCTATAAGAGGTCGATCGGTATCCATGTACGAAACATTCTTTCTGGATAGATCAATTCAAATATCTTTGAATAAATACAACAGAGCATCCAGCTATGCTCCCGGGAGCTTCTATAATCAATCGAATCGGTACTCCGTCTAAAAAGATTTTCTTTCTCTATATCAGGCCATGGCAATTGCAAAGCACATATTGTACATCTTTTTCCATACCAATATCTTAATGTCCATGTTTCAGAATAAGTAGTACAACAAAGTATTGAGATTCTTTAATGTTAGCAAATCTTGCATTCTTACGTCTTCTCACTTTGTTTACAGAGACTTTGCGAAAGAAATTTTTTTCAATTTAAATATTTTTATTAAAAACATTCAATAAAATTATTAAATTTCTGAAATGTTATTAAAGAATAAATTTAATTTTTGGTTTTTTAAAATTTTCTTCTTTACCCACTCTTAAAATATTAAAGATAAGAAATAGTACATGTGAAAAATATTTTCATTTATACAAAATTTTTTTTTTTATTGATTCAAAAATAAAAAATTTAAAATTTAATTTTCTATGCCAGAAAAAGTTTTTTTTTTTTATTATGTAAGGCATGTGCCAAAATTACGAAAGCAGAATAAAGTAGAATTTTTTTTTTTTTTGAGCATTTAATTATGCCGGAAGCTTAGAAAACCATTTTTGTCAGTCTTAAATAAAAACCATTTAAAATAAATTTGTTTGATATAGAGAAAAATATTTTATAAAAAAAAAAAAATAAAATAAAAAAAATAAATTCGGCAATAATTTTTAAACATATTTAAAATTTATTTTATTTTTACAACACATTCTTATTTTTCCATTTGCTTGGCTGAAAAAAAAAACTATTGTATTAAATTCAATTTTTAAATTTTTTTCTTTCAAATAAAATTACAATAGGCTATAAAAAGGATACAAAGGATATTTGATAATTTCTCAGTTTCTCAGAATTATAAAATACCGAATAATATTTAAAATAAAAGAAGAACATAACCTCCAAAAATTTTTTACTTAAACTAATTATTCCTCAAGAATCTAGTCTAGATTATTAATTTGGATTTTTCATAATTTCCTAATTTTAAAATAAAATTTAAATTATCAATAATGCCGAAACGAATTGAAAACAACCGAATCGGATTAAAGCGAACTAAACCGAATCAAAACTGAATTGAACCGAATGCTATTACTAGAGCTCGAACAATATTACTCATAATTCTCAAAATAGTGCTATATTAATTCATTCAATAACATTTTGTGTTGAAATTATAAGACTTTTTGAAAAATATTTTTTTCAAATTGAGTTTAACAATTTATGGGACATACTTTGTTCCCCATATAATATAGACAATATATAGGAAAATATAAAAATAATTTTAACATGTCTACGACAGTTATTAAGGATATAAATGATATGTATTCCTCTCATATACATAAATTTCTATGTATGTACATAGAATTTTTTCAAATGTTATACTTATACACATATATGTACAATTAAATGTTATACATAACATAGATTATATATATATATGTACTATCATATCTGTGTTTCATGTGTTATAATATTTTTTAGCACTTTTCCAAAAATTTTTTGAAAAAAAGTGCTTATTAGTTTCACTCTGTTCGTCCGTCCGTCCGTCCGTCTATCCTTGTGTCTGTTTACAAAACTTCTACACCCTTGAAGATAGAAAGCTGAATTTGTATGTACATAGATCTTCACTATAAACTTATTTCCGTAGAACAAAATTTTTACCTATCTTCCCCCCTCTAGAAGTTATACCCCCCCAAAACCCTAAAAATGGCCTTTTTTAAATATTTGTTGCAATGAAACCATAAGCATTTTTGAAATTTTACAAACGCAGAAAGGCAGCGGCTTGCTTTCACTAGCGCGGTATACTATAGTTAAACTTTAGAAAAACAAAATGGCCGCTTAAATTTACCGTTATCTAAACTCCTGTTTTTCCACATTTTTGATGTCGTTTTTCTTCTTCACTCCAGCCTGTAGAAGCTTGAAATTTTAGGGGACTTTAAACATTAACAAGTAGTTCATTTCGTTAGAAGAAAATTTTTTTCCAACTCCACCCCCTCTCAAGTTATCGCTCCTTGAAATTTGTAAAATTTGAATTTTTGACACCCTATATCTCCTAACGGTAAAACTAACGGTAAATTCCATAACATTCAAAAATATAATTATTTTTCTTAACTCGCACAATTAACCCTTAAAATCGAGCATTATATTAACCCCTCTTTATATTAATTTTTGCTTTATTTCAAAGACTGCATATATGCGTCATCCTAAATATATGCAATCCTAGAAATAGTTTTGTATATGAATGAAAATAATTTTAGTGTGATAGGTATACATAGACTGTATTTAAAAGCAGAATTTTCACTTGTTGAAGGGAAAAGTGCTACAATACAAACCATTCGTTTGACCCAACTTTATTTATTTTTGTTACCAAAAAGATTTCGTCATCATTCTATATAACAATCTACTTTTAGTACAAAAGACAACAAAAAAATGTTTAAACAAATAAAAAATAAAATTTTGTGTTATACATGTTTTTCTTTATTTTTGTTTTATAATAATGACATTCAAAGTGATTATAATACTCTCAGACTGTTGAGAAAAATATAGAAAAGATCTAAAACCAAAATGACAATCAAATATTACAAACAAATTGAATATGTAATATACATATATACATACATATGTAGACATAAAACAAAAAAAAAAAATTCTCAAAATCTTATATAACACTTTAGTATAAAAACCCATTCATTATTCTTCTATCTAACCCACCTCTCTCTCACTTTTCTCTTTTTCCCTCTCATCGCTCCAAAATATTTGATAGGCTGTAAAAAATTCTATTTGTTTTTTGTATAACATCCATATAACATCCGAAAATTTTCATATGTTTAGAAATGACACATTATAAAGAGAACATCGCATTATGATTGAGAAGGGGGGAGAGGGAGAGAGAGAATTTGTATTACATGTTTTGATGTTATTATACATGAAATTTTTTATTGAAATGTATATGAAATTAAATTTTTCCCTTTCCCCATCTCTCTCACATTTTATTTTATATTTTTGATTGTTATTGTGTTTTTTTTTCTACTCTTATATTTAAGTAGTAAAAATACCATAGAGAGATAAAGATATTTTTATTTTTCATATTATCCTTTTTTGATTAATCGCAATTAAGTAAATCTCAAGTGACGTTGTTTATTGTATATACAAATAAACATGCATATTAGTATTCATATATAAAAATTTCATTTACATACATACGTGTAATAATGTACGATGTAAATTTCATAATGGATTATCAAAAAATTACGAGTAGAATCATTAAATTAAAACAGAAGAAAACACTTAAAAATACACGAAAAACGTAAACACTTAACTTGAACAAAAATTTTTTTTTGGTTTTCAACGTTAAAGAGCCCAGAATTAAAATCAAAAGTGTGGTAATTTAGAAGTGGTGGAATTTTAATCGTTTTTCGTCTTCTTTTTCATCTTCATCGTGTTTCTCCCAATAAAAAATATCCTGAACTCATGAGAAATAAATTGAAATGCAACAACAAAAGTTCTTAATATTTAAAGAATTAAGGAAAATTGTTATTTTTTTTTCCACGAAATTCAAGACAAATTTAAAATTGTAGAAAAATTGAAACCTTGAAAATAGACCTCTCCATTATCCTCTTGAAAAAAAAAATAAACACCTATTGAAATTCTCTAAAAAAAAGTACTAAAAAATTAAACAAAAAAACGAAATGTGCACACATAGAAAAAAAAAAAAATTATTTGTTTTTCCTTTTGCTCCTTTTTAAAAAAATTTTTTTAATAAAATTTTATTTAAGTGACATGGTACTTACCAAATACACCTTTACCTTTTATACAAAATTCATATAAAAATAGTTACATACACACGTTTAGACTCTTAATGCAAAATATAATAAAATACACTGAGAAAAATTTAAGTATAATTTAAAATTTTTTTTTAATTATAATTAATTTGTGTGATGAATTCGAATAATTTTTTTGAAATTTTTAATATCATTTAAATTTTAGCCATTCAGATATTAGTTTGGAATCCACAGAACGAAAGGAATATAGGGGAATCTCGTAATACATGGCAACGCATTATAGTTAAGCAAACCGAATTAAAGAGTTTAAATACTTGTCAAAAATAAAATGCTTAGCCTCTAGCTAAAACACAGTACGATTCAGGGAATAGGTTGGACGAGTAACAAAACAAGAAAAAAAAAAATCCGAGACACTTACTATAATGAACATAGTATTAATTTCATTTATTTGAATTAATGAGTCAAGTTCGACAAGAATACGTCTTTGCAATTAAAATGTCTTTAAATAACAACATACTTTGAAAATTTATTGATACATAATTCATTTTACATATAAAATTTGAGCAAATTCATATTTGATTTTTCGCAACTATTTGGATAGAAATTTTAAAAATGGTTGCATAGCAACTAGAATAGACAGCTCTTTTAAAGAAATGTAGGGAAATATAGATCCTTTATTACTTGTCACAATTATTTAAATAATCTCCCAGAATTTATTTATATATTTGCAATTAATTCATTCGTTTTGAGAGAATCATTAATTTATTATTCATTTTATATATAGAAAGAAGCTCAAAAATAAGAGAAATGAATGAATGAGATCTTTGTAAAAATTTATTGATATTCATTATCTGTTATTGTTGCTTTTTTGTTGTTAGTTGATTTTGATTCAATTCTTGTATGTTTCTGGAAAAATAGCGTTCACATTCCTTTTCTTTACAAATGAGAAAATTTGTTCAAAATTACAATTAATTTTGTAGCTTTACTTACCATACTTATAGATCTCATTTCTTTTTCAGAATTTCTCTTTCATTATCCTTCAATTTCACACTCCTTCTATGTATAGAAAGTTTCTAAATTTTCTATATAATATAGAATTTTTAAGATTATATTCTATAGCAGTTAGATAATTTAATTTTTCATTAATAATATTAAAAAAATTCTTTAATCTCATATTTTAAATTTCCATTTTGTTATTTGTTTTATTTTTTTAATTCAAATTTTTGACTTTTATTCCGTAGTGTGCATAATATTCAAAAAAAAAATTGAAAACATACTTATGAATGTACACTTGAATGCGTAACTATTTCGTTTTTTTTTCTTAATGAAGATTATGT